ATTATTATTATTATTATTATTATTATTTGGTCAGGAGAGTCTCAGAACAGCTAGCAGTGGAGTTTTTAAAATATAATAAAATGTAGGTAAACAAACCATTGATTTTAGAATAGTTATACAGGTTACAATGGTAATTGGGATGGAATTTCCATTGCTAAGTGATGCGATAATAAAGTGCAATGTCATGTGACCACATTGCTTAGCTCTCCCTGTTGCCATCATTAACCAAATTCCACAAGTTGTTAGCCAAGGACCTTCCCCAATCCAAGCCATTCCAGGCTTGGTCCTCCCAGCCCTGAGCCTCAGTAAGGTAAGGACTGCCTCCTCTTCAACTATCCCACCGCATGGCTCTGGGGCTGCTTGCCACGCTGTACCTCAGGGGCTTCTTAGCACACCACAGTTCTGGGGCTGCAAGAAGTCCCTGAGCTGCAATGTAGCACAGCATGAAGCTGCAGTATCCTGGGAAGCCCCAGCCACCCCAGCCCAGTCCCAGCTGCAGCTGCCCACTCCACCCTGCACTCCAAGGTCCCTGCCGCCCAGCGCTTCGCTGCCCCAGCTGACCTTTGCCATCTTCTTGCTCCCCCTACTGACAAAGTGTGCCTGCCCTGGCCTTTTGCGTGGCAGCTGCTGGCCACATGAGGCCATCTTCCCCAGGTCTCATGAGGAAACTGCTGTGTGCAACCTTGGGAAGAAAGCCTCAGGGAAAAAAGAAGGACCCAGCTGGGGCCTTCTTTCACATGCCTGTCTCAAAAAGAAGGACCCCTTCTAGCTGGGTCCTTCTTTCACACTGGTGCAGCTGGGGCCTTCTTTCATGCTGTGCCTTCCCAAACCTCACAAGAAGGCTGCATGCAATTTAGAGAAGGCCACATGCAAATTGGACAAGGGGCAGGAGCAGCCTCAGAAAGGCCAGCAGCTGCTTCATGATAGGCCAGACCAGGTATGCCTCATTAGCAGCAGCAGGAAGAAGACGGCAAAGGTCAGCTGAGGTTGGCAAGGCCAGCAGGGGCAGCAGACCCAGCAAGCACAAGGCCAGCAAATGTAGAGCAACCAGAAGGGCATAGATGGGGGGCAGATAGGTGAGTGGGGGGAGTTGAAGCATTCCTGCAGACATTAGTGAAGTTGGGCTGCTACGTACCAGAATTTTGATCACATGACCATGGAGACACTGCAACAGCTGGTAACTTTGAGGACCGGTCATAAGTCCCTTTGTTCAGTGCTGCCATAACTATGAACAGTCACTGAATGAATGGTCATAAGTCAACAACTACCTGTATCAACTTTTAAAATATACTTGTAATAAGTAGCCAAAAGTTTTCATTTAGGTCAAATATCCTTTAATACACAAATTAATGGGATTTTAAAAATTTCTATCCATTCTTTTTTTTTTACACATAATTACAATTTAGTGAAGCGCTCCACCCAACACTAGTCACAAATGCATTTCTCTGTCCAGTACCCACTACCAGGTTGTGAGTGTCAACTACCCATGGTAGTA